TACATCAGTATTATAGTAATGCTAGTAAATGCATTTTACTCATTAAATATTCATTAACGCTCTTAGACATGGTTTATTGTTCAGAAATGGTAAATACGAGTTTCATAACGTTGAAATTATTAGATATTAGATGTTTGTCACATGAAGAAAGTAGCAATAAAAGTGAAATAATTTGTCATAAAAGTAGCAAAATGTAAACAAAGAATATTTTTGACTTCTATACAAAATATTTAATAATCACTTTAACTGTTATAATTGCCAAAAAAGGCAACAGAAGCCAAATAAGGTTCATGTGATTGGCCATATAAGTGTATTTTGTAACTATAACGACACACCAAAGAAAACGCTTTTTAGAATTTCACAAAGATTTAAGGACAAGGATCAAAATCAGGATCAAATTTAAAAGCTTCGAATATCATCTGTTATCCTTCTTAGATTAAATAGTTAATATATAGGTAATGGTAAAACTGGACTCGAAAAATCATGTTTATGGAATTTAGAAATAAATTATTGTTATTTTTGCAAGAAACCGGCATTTTACAGTTGATCCAAATATTGATATTGATCCTAAAATTGATCCTTTAATTTTTATCCGATTAATTTTGTATTTGTTTTGTTTTTTTGATTTTATCGTAAAATAGGTTGGTTTCTTTGCAAATCAGCAATGTTTTACAAATGTACCATATGTGCCATATATTGTAGTAAAAACGATCAATTTTTAGTTTATATAAAACAATGAAAAATAAAGTCAGGATCATTTGATCTTTTCTTTGTGAGCAGAGGGCAGTATATTAAACGATGAATTACTATATAATTTATCAATAACGTAGGAAATGTATATCATATAAAATCAAAAATGTGTTAACGACCACCCTTGCACAAAGGCAACTTTCTTATTACCATTGACGGATAAAAAATGACTAAAGAAACCCCCAGAATATAACTTAAGTAATGATTATTCATTTAATTATAGTCAAACCTGTGTAAACGACCATACCTGCACAAAGGCTACTATCTTATTACCATTGACTGATAAAAATGACTAAAGAAACCCCAAAATAAAGAACAATTGTCTTTATAGGCCACCATTTGTCTCTCCCTTTGGTGGTCGTTGTTTACAGGTTGGTTTGACTGTTTACTGTACCCTCGTGTACACCGCTTCCCATGAAAATATCTACTGTAATATTTCCAGTTTTCTAATATTCATAAATATAATTTTTCCAAATAAATACAGATAATACTAATTGTATTCCTATTATATGAGTATAAACTATATAGGAAACTAGCGTCATGTCCAGATTAAATCTAAATGCTCATAGTCACGTTTGTCATTGAGGTTAAAGAGAACGTGACGACTGATAAAAAATTAACCGAGTCTGAAACATTTTCAATTTTGTCGTTTTAGGCCTTCTTTAGGGAATCTGTTTTTTTCTATTAGATATCCACGCACAGTTCAATATTATATGAAAGAAAACAATATATACAAGGTGAACATGTCCTGAGTTTTAATACATTTCTGGGAGAAGTTTAATGCCGATCTAAATGTAACATTCCTGTTGATATTGGTTTCGAATAACTGAAATATAATTATTAAACCAGAAAAATGTCATTACGGCAGTGAAGATAAAATGTTGTTTTGATAAAGTGACAAGGTCAGATAATTATAACATTTTTTTCTCATTTTTATCTGTCACTTGTTTAACAGAAAATATGGAGTGGAAAAGTTTCGTGATCAGAGATGAAAATGGCACAGAGCTTGAATTAATACAACACGAGGAAATGATTATGCCGGCAAAGTATCTACAAATGGAACCCGAGAAAAAGCTCAAACTTATTCGTGAATATAAATACAAGAAAGACGATATTTTGCTTTGCAGCTACCCTAAAACGGGTATGTACGTTTAGCATTTTTTTAATGGGAACTTAAAGCGTTCAATGCATTCAGCCTTTTAACTTAACGCATATGCTAGTTAACAGGTTCAATTAAACCGAGCCTGCAACATTTACGAATTTTGCCCGTGTTGGGCTTTCTTTAGGGACTCTGTTTTTCTCTATTCTGTATTACACAGTAAATGATATGCAGCACTGAAGATGGTCGGTAACAAAATATGAAAAACAAGATCAACAAGGAGCCGTTCCTTGTGCAATGAGCCCAACCCTCACACGACCAAGCAGCACTGGCAAGGAGCACAGCAGGACACGGCTTCTAGCTGGCGCATACTTATCTCATTAAGGTTTCATTAAGCTAAAATCACATTAAATCAATGTCCTTCATTTATAAAAAATGTGTTAATTCCTAATGATAAGTCTAAGGTCGAAACAGCAATCCAAAAGTCGTATAAATTGTATAGTTGTCTTTTTTCTGTGTCCTTCATTCCTGTAAATGAAGCTGCTCATTTAGGTAGGGCGTTTACTTCTCTTTTTAAAATGAGAACATCAAACTTCATTTAGTTGTCGTATAAGCTCAATAAATGGTTTGGGGGTCGTGCGTTGAACACCACCCTCTTTTGTTGATCTTGTTTTTCATATTTTTTGACAACCCTTACATAATTATTATATAGCTTTTTATAAACCTTTTCTTTGTTCATCTTGTTTATCATATTCTAAAGGCTCCTTTTTTACTGTAACATTAGCTATAAATAATATTTTCTTTACGTGCCCTGTAAACTGTATTCAAATGCAGTTGCAACGCGGATTGGCACATTCATTGAATTATGTTCAATTTAAATAATTATATTGTTTTGAACTATATTGTTATTTTTTTTATTCCATAGGCACGCACTGGATATCGAATCTTGTCTACTTTCTGACAACACCGGGACATGTAGAGTCTATGACAACGGTTCCCCCTATGTTAATGGATATGATTCCACTGGACAAATGGGATGCTGTAGAGAAGAGTCATGTCATTAATTCCCATTTAAGGGTCAACCGAGTTCCCCGTGAACATTTAGAGCAAGACGGAAAGGTTATCATCATAACCCGTGACCCGAGGGACACCAATGGTTTCTTTAAAGTATCATTTCCAAAAAACATGACTTGGAACGCCGTGCAAACTTCTCTGGAATTTTTTTCTTTGACCAGTGGTTGGAGGCAGTGGTAAGTCTCTGACATGTTATTGAAACTAATTAAGTTAAGGACAGTATATTGTCACGCCAACATGTCAATGATTCTGTTCTGTTTGATTAAGCGATAATTAAAACTGATGTACCCAGCCCTTCACCGGACCAATATTTACCCTATTGACTGATCTGACTTTCATTTTTGGAACTTATTTTATGGGGATATCAAGATACAACTTCTCTAAAACCCGGCAACACAGGACCATTGGCAGGGAGCCCAGCAAGGACACCAAACAAAAGCAGACCAGAGCACAAGGCAAATTTTACTAAGAATGTTTCTTAAGCGTCGACCCTAATGTTAATGAAACCATGTCATAGTCACTTATTCTGGTTCACGGTACCTACACCATGTAACTTTATTTAAAAGTAGGACAGAAACCCAGAAAAGTCCGACCAGGATAATTGTGCTCAGTAACTATTTTTAAAATTTGAAATTCCATTATTTTTATTGGATATAGGACAGGTATTAGACATCTAAAAGAACAATTTCATAAAAGTACAAAGCGGCAAAAAATATGTGCAGTGTTACTCAATTTCATTTGTTCGTGTTTAAATAATAAAACCGCAAAGCCTAAAAGATATCAGCCTACCGCTAGTGCTTCTACTCTAGATTACCGTTCGCGTGATGCTCCTTTTTTGATTGGTTTATAATGACATCTCGTCTGTTTCCTGTCCTGTTTGGTGTTCTGCTGGGCTCCTTGCCGGTGGTCCTGTGTTGAAGGATGCGTTCATTGAATGCCGCGCTTCCTTGTTGATCTTGATGTTTTTTCCCATATTTTAGGATTTCCTCCATCAGTAAAGCTAGAAATCGCCATTTGACCATTACAGTGACCGTGAAGCTCAACCCAAATTATTACTTGTTACTGAAATACCGTATATACCCTAAAGCAATATACTTCACATTTTTCTTTTATTTTCTTTAGTGCCATTCGGTTCATTCTTTGACTATTACAACACATGGGAAACGGCAATGAAAGAAAATAAAAATCTGAATGCTCTAATTGTTCATTTTGAGAGTCTAAAAACTGTAAGTAACACGATAATTCAAAAGCATGTCAGAATTAAAAAAATATATTATGATTATAATTTATCTTGAAATTAATTTTTACATGTGTCATATGATTAACGCTTTCATTTTCCACTCACATTTACTTTTTGTAATGAAATATAAACGAATGATTATTTAGTTATATTCAAAACTGTAAATACCTGTTCTTTGTCCATATGGACATTTCAAGTCATAAGGTATTACAATTTTTTTACAGGAACGACACATAACGATCAAATGGACTAAAAGGAATATCTGGCTCGTATTATATTTAGTTCATGATTGTAACTTAGACATAACAATTCCAAAAATCTAAAATATGTGTTATTTACTGTTTATACTTACGGTTTAATATGTTTTAAATGATTAGATATCACATTGTACGGGTTATATATTTTATGAAACTTCTGTTGGATGGTATATGTATGTAACAGGATGGCTTAAAAGAATTGCGAAGAATTCAAGAATTTCTTCAAGTTAACAATACAGACGAGCGCCTGCAGCAAATTCTAGAGAGATGCTCCATCACGAAAATGAAGTCGGACATAGATACCGGAAAACTCGGAGCCGCACTCGTAGATAAAGATGGCAAATCGTTCATTTACCGTAAAGGTAATAACTATTTTCTCATTTTTTTTAACAAAGAACAACATCTTCGTAACACATTTATTACAGATACAGCAAAATAAAATAGTACATTCAAAATGGAAACCTTAGTTTGACAAGGCAAATGGTTTAATGTTTGATTTAATTAAGCCTGTTTTTAGATGACATTAAGAAAAGAATGTATAGCCTATGGGGTCTTTATTCTCAAAATGAAAATGAAAAATAGAGATACGGTGATACACGTAAAAATAAATTGTGAAGCCAGTTAAGGTCTTCTGAGAGTAACGCATTGATGATGTGTTTAGGTTTTAGTGATTAAACTGCACATGTTCTGTCTTGTGCCCTGTCCTATTTTTGTTTGGGGTCCTCCTGGGCTCCTTGCCACTGGCTCTTGTTGCTGAATCGTGTGGTGGTTGCGTTCATTAAACGCCGCCTTTTCTTGTTGACCTTCTTTATCATATTTTATTGTTTATATTTATTGGCATAACTACTCTATGATTTTGTGTTTATTTAATACCAATTCTAGTCTATGTTATTTGTGTTTATCAAATACCAATTAAGCCTTGTTTACTTTTGATCTAATTTGATCATTTTGATCTCATTAATATAATTATTGTTTTAAGCTCTGGTTAACATGTCATGTAAATGACCCATGATTTGTAAAAAAAACTATATTCAATTCTATTCTACCTTATCATACAAATACATAGATAATAAAAACATACAATCAATGTGTCTTTTGCGCATATGTAAACTGTCATCAGTGAATCAAATATAGTTAAGATTTTAATTGAGACGCTTATTATAGTAACAGCAAACAACAATAAAAGAGATGAAAACAATAAATAATGAACGACCAAAACGGCAAAATTGAAAATGCTGAAGGCTCGGTTTAATTGAGCCTGTTCATGAACGGTAGTGGTAATTGCAATATAGATAAATACAGAATCCCTAAAGAAAGCCCAACACGGCAAAATTGAAAATGTTGCAGGCTCGGTTTGATTGAGCCTGTTCATGGACGGTACTGGAAAGTGCAAGTTACCGTCCACGCCCCCTAGCACCGGCTTAAGCAGAATTCAACATTTAAACGTGAAATAGTAAAATTTTGAATTTAGAAACATCCGCAGATGTGTTCATACGGCGGTAATCATGGAACCTTCAATGTGACACTTCCGTGCCATTCCATGAAAAGCGGCGTATGGTCCCCAAGTAATAAAAAGCGTGTGCCCTAAACGAGAAAACAATGGGCGGAACTAAATAAAATGTCGTTCGTTTTTGGTAGACGCTTGCAAATAACATATTTATTTCTAAAACATATTCAATCTAAATTATTTTATATGTTGATGGCACTTGTTACTTTGTTAGTATAGTAGTTATGTCTTATTTCAGGGGACATTGGTGAATGGAAAACCCATTTTACAGTAGCACAAAGTGAACGTTTTAATCAAGTGTTTGAGGAGAAGTTTAAAAACAGTATTTTCAAGATGTAATGTCTTGTTGTTTATGTCTAACTCTGATAAACAAAACAAACTAGGTGTTGCATGTGAATGAAAATTACATATTATTAATAAACTGGTAGTGTATCTAAAAGATTTGATGTTTTTACATATGTATGTACATCGTATTGTGACATATATTTCGGACGTAAATATTGGGAGTACATAAACATTAGGATTTTAAATTGTTACTATCTCACATATCATCAGGACAAAACTATTCATCATGTTTCAAGGAAATTTTCAAAGTTATTAATGATTTAAAAGCGAACAGTATAGACCACGATCAGACTGAGGGTCGTCGAACTTTGTCAGAACTTCTTGCATCCTCCTGGGCTCCTTGCCACTGGTTCTTGTTGCTGGGTCGTGTGGGGGTTGCGTTCATGGAACGCGGCCTTTCCTTGTTGATTTTGTTTATTATATTTTCGGCTTTATCACGTAAGAACAGTGTGAGACATGCGCGAAGTTTGTGACATCATCGACCCTTTAGTCACTTCGGAATTTCTGTATATATACGCGTTAATTCAAGGTGGTTTATTTTCTTAAATATTTGATGTGTATCCATATATTTACTTATTAAATGGTATTTTGGGTAATTTGATTTCTATATGAGTTTAAGTTTTATTTGTCGCGAGTTAATTTGCCAAACTAGCTATAAAATCAACAAAATATGAACTGTTTGTAATTTCTCCGATGTAAACATTAAACATGATTAAAAACAGACAGGGTCCTAAGAAAAAATCATTCGTTCAAATTAAACCGTCATACAGATAATTGATCAGATTTTGGCTTACCTAGCTGTCATTTTATTAAAAACTGGCAATATATCTAGATCCGGTAAGCTCTAGATCTAGTTACATGATCTTAAATTTCAGTACACTTATTCACATTCTAAACTGTCTTTTCTATAATTTTGGTCTAGCATGAATCTGATTTTTATCGATTTGCAAAATTGAAAATAGATAAAATATTGAATATTAAAGTGTCTCATTACGTTAATTACTCTTGATATGTTTATCATTATATTGTTTAAATTGGACATTATAATAATTTTTTTTTATATTTTTACTTATCTTAATGTCATGTCTCTATAATAAGATGTTAATTTCAGATGAAAAAATGAATAGTAAGAATTCTGTTTGCGGTTAATGTCACTGTCAAACCTTCTGTTTAATGTACATTATAACAATATAGCCCTTAACAGTTTTTGGCTTGTCTTTTATTAAATATTACGTTGCGTTCACCAGCAGCCCACAAAGTAAAAGGGCACAGGGAAAGGGGACTACAGTGCGGGGAAGGGGAGGGGCAAAAGGAAGATTCTTCCTGTAGACGAGAAAAAGAACAAGAAGGGATATAATAGTATGAAATAACAAGACATACATCTGACGAACACAATGGGGTGCCGCCTTAGAACGGTCAGCAGCATAAGTACAACTGGGAAGCTTAAACTGACTTAAATAACCTTCCCATGCTCTTCCTTGTTGCTTGTCCTGTTTTTGTTTGGGGTCCTCCTGGGCTCCTTGCCACTGGCTCTTGTGTGATCGTGTGGAGGCTACGTTCATTTAACGCGTTCTTTCCTTGTTGATCTTGTTAATTATATTTAATGGAAAATCACCTACAAGGGCACGACTAAGCAATTCAGAAAACGAAAATTAAGACGATGCAGTCCCGATCGGTTTAAAAAACTGTCGATCACTGAGTATCACACTTGGCCGTCAGATGTTATCAAAAGAGGAAAGCTTAACGTGCAACTGTAAAAGAGTTGAACATATAGCATGCGATATGTCTTAGGATTCTTTTGTTATCTATTTCAGTATAGTTGGGTCATAACTTCTTCTTATAAAACATAAAGACAACAGAAAAAAAACATGAAGTTTGAGAATCACATTCCTATTAAAATCAATCTTGCTTATCCCTTGTCGCAGGGGTGTTTTTAAAAGAATGAGAATAAAGATCAACAAGACAAGGCAACGTTCACAGAACGCAGCCCCGCCCCACACAATCCAGGTACATCAAGAAGACACCAAAGAAGACACACGGGGTTGGGATTTGTAATATTAAGTAAAATGATAAGAACTTAAAGGGGCTTTATTCACTTTTGAATTTTATATTAAATCTGAATAACGATTTTAAAACTTTGTGGATGTTTCAAATTCAAACTTTCACCATTTTCTCGTTTAAATTTTGAATTCTGCTTCAGCAAAGAAAAAGGTCACCCAGAAAGTGATCAATATTATGATACTTGGCTTTTCTTGATTTCCTTGTCGGTTACTATTATTTCTATTTTAAATATCATGTAACAGAGGGATATTTTGTCTTATTTTTATTTTGGGTCTCCTTAAATACCTTGCCGCTGGTTTTTGTTGCTTGGTCGTGTAGGGGTGCGTTCATTGAAAGTGGCCTTTTCTAGTAAATTTTGACTAAATGATCGTATTTTTGGCTTTTTTTTCAAACAGGCCTTTGGATATATGTTGTAAATTTTTCAAAAATTGCAGAAGATATTGATACTTCTTGTGGCAACATTTTTGCATTTAGTATTTGTAATCGAAACAAATACCTAATAAATCAATGTCAACAAGGAAAACTGGACATAAATTAAAAGCAGATCACGAATTTCATATAAAAAAGAAAAACTTACTTTTCGGCTGCATACGCCATGTTGTTTGTTTGGGTAACGAGCGGCGTGATTATCCTACGTGATTACTTTATACATACATAAAAGGAAATAATAGAAACCAACAAAGTGTATTAGGTAAGGGTACGGCTTTTTTTACTGAATGGGCCTAAAATACGACCAAGGTGTTTTTCTTTTTCAAGTTTATCTCTTAAAGTTTAACAGGAAACAGATTTTGAATTTATGAATAATACATACGAAGACTTAGACCAGATTTAGGAGCGGCTATGAATGATAATATCACAGAGGTCGAACGTCAGTAACGCACAACACGATCCAGCTAAACACATATTCACTCGGCAAAGGAGTCCAACAGGACCCAAATTAAAACAGGCAAGTGGCACAGGCAAACAAATATCTTTATAAAATTGTAAAGACCATTTTCAAGTAATTATGTTTGAGCTCAGCAGGAGTAGGAATAAATCTTTTGTGAATGAGAGTACAAGGCAGACGAAGAGTTAAATATCGTAGTCATCCAGATTTGTAGAATTATAAGAAGATTTGTGTCTATTTGGCCTTTACTGGTGTTACTCTAGGCGGTAGAAGCCAAGTTTTCTGTGCGAGCGAACAGCATGTGCTTCACTGGTTGACTAGTCGTACCTTCAATCAAATTCCTAGGAAACTGATTTTTTACAAATTCAGTGGTAGTGATTATTGAATATAAACATACAATCTTGAGGTATGGTATTACATTTATTAACTCCCATGTTTGCCTGAACAAAATGTCTTAGTTATCTTTTAAAATTTCCAAAAAGTTCTTAAGTATTTTACTTGCTGAGCAGCTGAATAATTCATCAAGCATATCTAGTTACACATTGATTCAAGTCTATTATTGCTCATCTATTATTATGTTTTGCCTCTATGGTTCGGCTCATTATTCTGGTGCCTTCTTGATAATGTATTACGCGGTCCGGTCGTTTCTCTGTGATGCCTCGTTTGATGTCTCTGCTTAGCGGTAGATTTATTTGTTGATAGTTGAGGATTTCTGGGATTTGTGCTTGCTGCTGAAGAGTGGTATTGTCCACGGGTATCACAGGTTGAAGCCGCTTCTGGTCCAGATCCAGTCTGTATCTGGCTCCGTTGCGTGCACGTCTATTGTGTTTATCCATCATTTTTGAGCGGCGCCACAAATTAGATACTGTGTTCTATAAGTCCATATCGCTCATTATAATCTTCATTATGCCAAACGTAATTCAAAATTTACATGATGTTTTAACCTGTTCTGGTGGAGAGAGAGAAATATAAGCTATGAAAACCAATAGAAAATAAATATCACACAACGACTATTAGGGTAGCATGATCTTAGCTGCCATCTCTTCTAAGTTAAATAAAGCATATAAGCACTGTGAAATACCCTATAACGTTTATATCACGTATATAATGTTTTTGAGTTGATTTCATACTCCATGTCCGTCAGAAAGCCACTTTAATACCAAATATTATAATGTATAAAGTATCAAAATCAAAACACAGTTACGAAATTTATTACGCGCACTACCGATGTATATAACCTAACTCGAGATAACAGAACTAAAAACCATGGTGCGCTAATAATGACATGACGAGATAAGTTATACATGAACCATAATATATGTATTATAAATTTGAAACATATCGTTAGATAATCTCACGGCTTATTCATCTCACTGAGCGGTATTACCGTTCCTCAACGGTATGTGCTTCGACTCAATGTTATGAGGTACTTTCATCCACTTCGCTGACTGTGGATATCGAGGAAAGAGAGAGGATTATAGTATTGAGACGAATTTAGTCATTTGTTTTGTTACCGATTTGTAGCTTTGAGATATAACAAATTTTTAAGTGAAAAATGCCATAATACCTACAACATAATGTCAACAAGTACAACTGAGATCACTCCCAACAAGCACTGTTGTTAGAGAGAGATATTAGGAAAATAATTTATACATTCACGAGAGTTTGTGATATATTTGCTCACGTGATAACACTGAAGCTCGAGGTCAAATGCTCTGTTTGTATGTATTATAGAGTCACATATACATTCCTTGAATCAAAATAAAACTAGTGAACTCGAGATTGTGATAATTTGTATAGATAGATAAAGTTTAGGCTACTTTGCATGAATCGCTTCCACCTAACAACACGCCAGCTACGTATCATACAGAAATGAAGTGCGATCTCTGTGGAGAGAGTAGTAATTTTAAGCAGGACGCACGAGTACCGAGAGAGAAGGATAGCAATATAGCACTCTGCCCGCCGGTTTGTCTCAGGAGCTAATTGCGATTATTTTAGTGTAAATAATCGAGGATAATTTGGATTTGCTAAGTAGACAAGAGGAAATGCAGGCAACACGACAAAAAGGATTTACACAGTATCATTATATTAAATTATATTAATATTGATCTTACCAGTGTTATTCCTTTATTGGGTATCACCATATCGTGCCAGTATTTATGTCAGAATTCTGTGAGTACTGCTGAGAGGGAGCATCGACGAATAGATCCACGAGTATTCATCACTGAACACTGAAAATTATACACCGAAACAAGAACTCATGCGAATTTTGGTATCTTTAAATTCTTTCTTTAGCTTTAGTACAGAAGCGACTCACACCTATATCCGAAATTTTTGTATATGAATATTATTCGCGATATTCTAATTTTGTCCACTAGGTATATATATTAACATGCAATCTCACTATAAAAGTGCCATATAATGAAATAAGCAGTCACACTTATTTATAGTGCATTATTTAGACTCGGTATTATCGAGCAATGTTCCAATAACAT